GATGTAAGGCTCAAACATTTTATATTATGATGATGAGACATATTCATCAGACGCTTTTAAGATAAATATGCACTTTATATGTACAAACCCAACATTTAAAGCCAGCTGTGTGTTATTCATAAAGAATATTACAAAATAATGAAAGAATGGCCCTTGCATTTTGCTAGAATTTGTAACAGGTGTTTTGGGCTTTACATGAATTCCTCAATAAGATCAACATGTCTGACCTGTTCTGTACATTCTCCACGCTGATGTTGTTCTCCTCCAGCTCTCTGAAGCCTGGCACTTCCACAACAAACACGTGTCCTCCCTCCGTGCCCAGCATCAGCAGCTCACCCGATGAGTGTGCCAGGACAGCCGTGACCCGCGTCACACTGGGAGGGGCACTGTCAATATTTGGCATCACAAGGGGGTCAAAATGAAAGCGCTAGTGATTTTTTTTTTCTCCCCCAGTTACACTTGGATTAGACACTGGATGAAAACTGTATGCTGGTTTATTTTAAGGTCATCAACATTGTTTTTTTTTTTTTATATATAAATGCATCAAATCTGTCCCGATGCCTTTATAAAGCATATAAAGTATTTTTATAATAAAAATGCATCTTTTCTTTGTATTTTCATAAATATTCGTAACCAATTACAATACCTTTACAATACTAATAGATGCTAAATCCTGAAGCACATAATATTTTAATTATAATTATATTCTTATAATTTTTTAAACAGAATCAGAAAGCTCATTCTGATTCTGATAATACATTATAGTCTTTTTAGGCATAAATACAAGACAATATAATGTATAAAAATTAAGATTACAAATTTCATACAAATGTGGCTCCATCAGAACATATCTGACGTTTAATATGCTGCTATGTGAAGTGGGTGATTAGACTAATGATATTTCTTTTTGGTCAGGGCTACCCAGCATAACAAAACAGATATAAAATCCAAGACTGCATCTGAAATTGCATACTTCCATATTATATAGTAGGCAAAAAAACAGTATGTGAACAGCAATATGTACAAATTCACGGTATTCATAAAACAGAAGGCAAAAAGTTCCTGGATAGACAACTGTTTCCGGCAAGAAGTGTGCATCTGATGGAAACCTTTCTATCACATGATGCCACAGGATAGGATTTGTGAATGGCAGTGAAGCAACGCAACTGACGCTGGTGGGTCACATGACAAGGACAACATGATGAATATAGTACATCTGGATTACATTCATACTAGAAGTACCTACTCAGTGAGTATGCGATTTCGTATGCAGCCCGAGAGATCATGATGTCCTGTCACTTGTTACTGGATAATAACAAAAGTATTAGGAGGAATAATCATTCATGGGAGGATAGGATATGACATCATAGGCTGCAAAAAAAGCTACTTTGAATCATGGAAGTCAGCTGACAGTATGCATACATCTATGTATGGATTCAGAGCACAAGTGAGCATCAGTGACTGGTTCAGTGTGAGTCAATGCTCATGTCTCATTCTTTGGGTGTGTGTGCATGAGCATACCAGCAGGTTCATAAAAACATCTTCAAGCATGATAATATTAGACTGAGGTGAGTCTGTAGGTGCGTGTTCCTGACTCACCCAGGTGGACCAGAGAGAGTGAAACGTCCGATTTCAAGCAACTCGGACATGCCGTTATGGGCCCGAAGCGTCCACATGTGCAGACTGTTGTCATCCAATAATGTTACCATCCCTACCTGCAAAAAAAAATAAAAATAAAAATAAAAAAATAGACCAAATCAAAACCAACATCTATTTTTCCAAATAAAAAGAAAATATAAAGAAATGCATTTAATTAACTGGGGATCATTTTTTGTTGAAATCATATATACAGCTAATGTGATATAAAAACTCATACCACTATATAAATATTTTATTGATACACCCCCTAATTTTAAATGTAATAAAAAAAATTTTAACCACCTCACCCAAACCCACTGATGATTCACTGAAAACCGAATCCCAAAGATTGAATGGAAAAAAAAAAAAATTCCAGGTGAGATCAAAAGGCATCAGGATTGAAGTTCAAAGCCGTACCTGGTTTGGCAGGAAGTGCACCTGTGTAACTGCTGCATTCTCGTCGTGCAGTCCCATGAACTCCACACCTGGAGTTCCGTACCTGAGAACTGGTTAAGGAAACACATGGCAACCATTTACACAGCACCTTGTTTTTATGGCAAGTTAAAAAAACAAAAAAAAACATTACATTTGCGTTTTTAAAAACAAAAATACATCAAATATATTAAATTACAAAACAAAAAAACTATTAAATACCAGACACAATGTTGGCCACATACAAGTTATTCGTTTCTATTATTTCCTTTTCTGTGAATGACTAACAGAGAAAATGATGCAATAGTATGGGAAAAAATGTTATCTCAGTACATTATCATCATATCACATTGTAGTCACTCTGCCCTCGGGATTCAGAGACAGGGGAATGGAATGTGATAATTCTAGTCAAGAGTTACGCTATACACAGATCAAATAGCCCAAAATGTGGAAATGTCTTCTGTTCGTTGAAGGATACAGTTTGATTGCTCCTGATCTGGTACCGATGGCCAGGAGCGCCAGGCTGGGGCTGAATCCCAGAGCACTGGGCTGATGGGGAAAGCCATGTTCTACAGTCTAAAGCAGAGAGGGGAGAAATGAGAGTATGAAATGTTATATTGTATGTCTTATACACATTGGCTCTGGTAAACACTTACTACACGGGCAGCTTACATTTTAAAGACATCATAGTCACACTGTTTCAAAGTCTGTTCCAAAATGGAACTTATAGGCCTACAACTATTGTGCCTTTAAAGATGCCTCATTTTTGGGCAAATTATAAGGCAACATGGCATGCATCCTTCACAGGGAAGGCAATTCAATTCTAAAGAGCTCGGAAATCCATCCAAATTGTAGGGCTGCATGATTAATCAAAATCACACCAAAATTGCATTATGATTTAGTGCAATTATTAAATCAACAAGGCTGTGATTTAATTATTAAAGTAAATACATTAATTATCAAAATAAATACACGTGCTGCATGTTTCAGAGTGAAACACAGCACTGTGCTCTTTTATACGCGAGCACCTCATGATGCAGTGTTTTCAGTGTCTCCGAGCATCTCTGGTTACAGTAAATGCTGCTTCACATGAACTCTGCTCTGAGGTTGTTCAAAAATGTTGATTATAATATACATAAAATATATTAAATGCCAGAAAATGATCATTAAAAATGTGTTCACTAATTATAAATCAAAAACAGAGCTTCTATTAAAATAGCACAAAACCTGTCTTGTGTATGTTTAATAGCAAAACAAACTTCCAACAGAAGATGTGGGCTTGATCACCTTGTTGAACTGATAGAGATCCTGTTTGTGCTTGTCCCTCTGAGACTCATGCCCATGACGCCTGAACCTCTTCATCGTCCCTGGACGAACAGGGAGCTCACGCTGCCCTCTCTCACGGTTTCTCCTCAGCCACCTGACATGAGAGGAGGGGTACAGGGTTAATCAGAGGCTTTTCAGACAAAAATAAAAACATGTAATGTAAAAACATCAAAATGGAATAATCAAGACTTAAAGCGATCGTTCACCCATAATTTACGGCTCTTTACAGCTGTGGTCACCATTCATACTCATTGTATGAAAAAAAAGAGCATTATCCAGCTTCTGTTGTGTTTCACACAACAAATTCAGTCATACAGGTTAGGAATGACATGAGGGTGACCATTTTTATTTTTGGGTGAACTATGCCTTTAAAAAGACACAAACTGAAGCACTGTAAAGGGTGCATAACTTACAGAGACTTCGCACAGGGTTATGCGTGTATTCCACTTTAAAAAAAAAGAAAAAAAAGAAGAAAAAAACACGGATCTGATAGGATCAGGAATTCCAAGGAAGGAGTTGTGTGCTGTTTGACTGAAACTACCCCCCCTCACCACTCCTGATTCCTCTCTTTCGCTCTTTCTGCCCAGCCCCCACAGGGAGATTGTGGATCTCTGCAGTCCTGACTGAAGCAGCTTTTGTTCGGAGCTGAACGCTATTACAGTCCCTCCCCCTCATCTGAGCAAACAGCACCTTGATGAAAACACCTGTTGCTCTGGGGAAGCCAAATCAGAAAAAGCCTCTTTCAAATGGACAGAAAAAGGAGAGTTGCTACCTGCTTTGCATTAAAGAGACCACTCAGACTATAACAATACACAATAACCTGTAAATGGATGGGAGTTTCTCTCACCTGAAGCTTGAAACTGTTTGGATTTGTTGTGGGCGGAAAAAGAAAGTCGCCATTGGCTATTTTGCTCCATTTAATGCATCTTAAAAACAATGTTACAACGGTAACCATCAGCAAGCATCATAATTATTATAACTCACATTTGTTTGAAACTAAAACTAACCCGAAACTTAAGTATTAAACTTCAGCACATAACTCGGCCCACACCGTTTTATGGCACAATACACTACTATTCAAAACTTTGGGGTCAGTATTTTCTTTTTTTAAGGAATTAATACTTTTATTCAGAAGTGATACTAAGGATATTCATAATGTTACAAAAAATTTTCTTTTCAAATACATGCTTTTTTTTCTATTCATCAAAGAAACCTAGCAAAAAAAAAAAACACTGTTTCCACAAATATATGAAACTGTTTTCAACATTGATAATAAGAAACTTTTCTTGAGCACCAAATCGGCTGAAAATTCAGCTTTGCCATCAGAAGAATGAATTACATTAAAATATATTGAAAAAGTTTTAATGATATTTCACAATATTACATTTTTTTATTGTACTTTTATTGTAAATGCAGTCTTCATGAGCACAAGAGAATAAAAAAAAATAAAAAAAACTTCCTAAACTACAAAAATTATGGTTACCATGGTACATATTAATAAGGGGAAGTAGTCATAACGCTCTACATGTGTGTGTACATAAAACATGCACATACATACAGTTAATAAGTAAGGCTACCAGGATGCAGGCAAGCAAAACAAGAAGAAAAACATTCAGTCAGAGTCTTTGACATTGATTAAATGACAATAAGAACTGCATTCAGAGTGACATATCCAGTAGGGCTGTGCGATATGGACAAAAAAAAAAAAACCTATCGCGATTTCTTTGATCAATTTTGCGATTTCTATTTTAATCATGACTTTGACACACACAGACATGCTTTACAGTCATTAATGCATTCAGTGTGAATCTGAAACACATTTCTTTAGTACCGACTTGGTACCGAAATACCGGGTCTTTTGACAACACTACGTGCAGACGCACCGCTCCCTGCAGCGCACTGCCAGACCGCAATCGGGTGCAGTGTGAACGCTCCGATTCGTTAACATGGGCGCGGACAAAATACGCACCACAGACGGAGTGTGTGAACCTGGCGTTACGTTTGTATGCCCGCCCGGTCTGTTCTGTTCTCGTGCTCCATTTAGGCACGCTGCATTCTGATTGGTTCGGATAGCATACTGCGGGGAGGTCGGGGGTGCGGAAAATCGTGTTATAGAGCGATTTAGAAATTGCGCAAGCTCAAATCGCGATTTTATGACGATTTCGATTAATCGCACAGCCCTAATATCCAGGTAACATTAACGTCACATCATATTAGAACTGCCCTGAGAGCATGTCTAGACAAGAATGCCTTCATAATTTATAACACTTTCTCCAGGCTGATCACATCAGCATATCAACAGGAAAAGGGAACTTTTTCCTACCCCAAATCAATCCCTTCCAAGCATAACCTTCCCAGTGACTCAGTTGCCCCACCCGGCTCAGACACATATTTCTGTGATTATCACCATTATTAGCCAAGCACATTTAGTCATCAAGCATGCGTCTACAAATGCTTCCAGAGAAGGAAAAGAGCTCCCATTTCCTTATTTTTAGGATCAGAAATCCAAGGATTACAGGACCTTGAAGCAACCAGTCAACAAACTAAACACAAAAAAGAGAGAGCCTGTAAAGCTTAGCTTAAGGGACAATGGTAAAGTGGGAGGTCTTCTACTTAAGAGTGAGCTTGGCTTTATGAGCGAAAACTCTCAGCAGGAGAGCTGGAATGGAGTGAAGGCAGGAGAAAAGACGCGATTCATTCACAACTAAAGAGGCCAGAAAGTCCAAAACAATCTCTGAACACCACATTGATCATTGGGAGCATTTCGTAAAGCAGCTTCAGATAATTTTTTCCTCAAAGATCAATATTACACCTTCATCCATCAAATCCCAAGTTAATTAGACGTAGAAAAAATAAACTGCATTTTGTTTTGAATCCTGCTGGGAGGAATTATGGCGGAGGAGCATGTGAGGGCATTGATGTGGGAGTAGTGGCTGTAGCTTGTCTAAATTAGAGGTAGGAGGCCTGTGTGGAGAATTCATAGACTTTAAGGAGAAACGGTATGTGGAACTAAGCAGCCGCCATAGAAATGCTCGGCGTAATCAGTTCAACCATACAGACGACAGATTCATGGCAGTGGAATATAAAATGACATGGTACATTAGCAGAGGAAGTATTGATTAAACTGCAGCTCTAAAACATGAAGACATCCGTCTAGATCAGGGGGGACCGAACTTGCCTACCCCTGGTCTAGATAGAACAAGCATAGAACAAATCGCCAAATTATTGTGGGAAGTATATGATTATCAAGTAGTAAAATCTAGATTTTTACATACAGATTTTTCATTTTCGAAAAGGCACACTTTCCAATTAATAATAATAATAATTATTATTATTTTGTTAATATTATTAAAAGAAATAAGTGTTTTATTATATTATTTATATCAAAATGATTAAAAATGGAAACTTTACATTGTTTCACCAAAAGGTAGTTACAAACTAAGTAGTAGTTACTGCATACCGATACATACCAATTTAAGGAAGATCTCACCAATGGCAGGTGCAAGAGAATTTAAGGACCAGTCTTATCATCTGTCAGGTGAAAATAACAGAGTAGAAAATTGTATTTTTCTAAGCTGAGTATTAGAAAAGCACAAGAAGTGTGGGACAAGTTATGCCCAGTCCTATACGTAGGGTTACAGGTTTGTTTAAATATCCACACCATACAAAGAGCTACATTTTTTACTAAAACTAGCTAAATTACTAAAGCACAAAAAACCCTCAAAGCTTTTTTTAGAGAGGCAATTCTGAAAGCCCTGCAGTAGGGCTGGGCGATAAAACAATAACGATAATTATTGCAATATAAATTTTCCTCAAAACGGTAACAAGAGTTCGATAAATGTTCAATACAAAGTTTATAAACCAAAAGTGGAATGAAACAGCACTACTCATTTGAACGCCATCACACGGAGCATTTATCCGCTCGGCTCAAAGTTCAAACAGCAGCGCAGCGCAAGCTCACTAGAGCAGATGTGTCTCAGTCTCAGTCACACGACCACTAAACAGCACTGTGAGATCCAGTGTGAAGCGCTTAAATTCAGCGAAGAACACAAATGACTCAGTGATTTAAACTAGATTAAAGCCAGATGAAACAGCGCTGACAAACAGGAGAAACACTGTGAGCAACGAGACAGCCAGGAAGCTTTTCAATCTACAAATCGCCATCATTTACCATGGATTTACTGTAGTAACACACTAGCTGCACCATGGTATTGTGGCAGAAATGTGGGATATTCATATCGAATTTTATTATATCATTAACGTAGACATGTTTTAAATGTATTAAAGGAATAATGGAATATAATTACAGTATGTTTTGTGATTAAGCTATAGCGTTTGTGCATTTATACTAAATGTATTTAGACTACTGTTTTTCATACAAATACCCAGAAACAATAGGGATACATTTTTACCATGCTATTGAGGTGCCATATGTGTGGTTTTAACTGTGGTTATCATGATCTAAACGTATGCTACTATGGAAGACCAATGGTTAATTTTAATAAAACAGTCAGAATTGAAATTATTAGGTTGTTACGATTTTTACAGATGTTCCTGTTAGGGATGCTCCGATCAGGATTTTTGCAGCCGATACCGAGTACCGATTTCTTGTCATGGTGATCGGCCGATACTGATGCCGATTCTGATGCTTCAAGCTTTATATAGACGGTTTCAATGGGTGCACGCGCCTGGCCCGAAGTTAACTTCCGGTCTGTGTTTGTTTATCAGTCTGGCTATGGCACCGGCTACAAACGCAGTTAAAGTTAAGGTGATGAGTAGACTGAAGTTCGGCTCAGGTGGTTGTGTTGTGGGATGTGTTTCCCATACATTTATTTATTTGTGGCGCTCACCACAATATCAAAACTGACGGATTTTCCAAAAGGCTTGGTTGAATAAACATGAGCACATACTGCACATTTAAAAATCAAAATGAGGTGCGGGTGTTTTTATATCACTGTATTTCTGAAGGAAGACTATCTTTAGAAATTTTCCGATGTCATTTTCATTTCATCTTGCATTTTATATGCCTGATAAAGCAGCGTTTGTCAGCGCTGCTTTGTGTACAAGCTGTTACTGGGGAAACCTCTGTTTCTGTTCCGTCCTCCACGCTGTGACAACTCCCAAAAAGACTATTTTTAACCAAGCAGCGCAGAGGGCCGCTTCAGAAACGTGCCGCGGCTGGCTGATAAACACAAGCACTGACTAGAGCGGCTGCGATCAGCTCCGGTGGCCGTGGAGCCGTAACGCGCTGCAGACGCGTGCAGCGAGGCGCAGATCAGCTCTAACGTCACTGAATCTGCTGTGTAGATGAATCATGCAAAACATACACGACAAACAGCAAATTTTTCATTGTTTCTCGAAACGTCATAGCATTTTCACACCGGCGATGACATGACTGCGGCGCCAAATCATTTATGTCCCCATGCATCATGTACGTCGTCACGCGTTGACGTCATCAAATTGCGATCGGTTCCTGAGATCGGCCCAGTTGGTGAGTACCGAGTCATAAAATATGATTATCGGCCGATACCGATCTCCGGCCGATCGATCGGAGCATCCCTAGTTCCTGTTTTTAATGATGAACATAAATTTACATCTGCATCCTAACTCAAGCTACTACTACTGCCAACTCAAGCTACTGTCAAATGTGCATTTCTAAGAGACAAAAATAAATGTAATATTATTAATATTGCAGCCTGCACTGCAAACTGCTGAAGATACGCATCAAAGTCAGGCAACACAAACCTGATTCATGATTTGAAACAATATCAATCATTAGAACATCCAGAAACTAAGAAATTCATTTTTCTATTAAGATATTTATTTTGTTAAGGAAAAATGACTGGAAAAGCGTAAAGAATTCAAAAGCGTGAAGTGTTTGTCATGTTCTGACCATAAAGAGTAGTTTAAAACCCATAATTAATGTCTGGTTTGTGGTTTCTACAACTTTCAGTTAGGTGCAAACATCTGCTTTAAACTTGAAAAAAAAAAATAAAGTCAGCCAGACTCTGCAGTAGGGCTGTGCGATTAATCGAAATCGAATCGAAATCGTGATTTGAGACGTTGCGATTTGCTAATCGCAAAGCCTGCGATGTGTACGCAATATTACTCTGTTCCAGAGCATATGCATGACTGCCAGCCTTGAGTTGCAGTCTTACTTGTCCTGGGCAAGAGTGAGCGCACCTCCGTACTCCCCAATCAGCACTGCTCTAGCCAACTGCGTAAACACCCACCATTAAAAAAA